TGTATGTGTGGAAGCAATGCCAGAGCAGCGGCACAAATCGCATTCTCTTCATTCCTCTACAGAGAAGAAGAGAAAAACTTTTCGAGAGACGCAAAGTGAGTAGACCTCAAATGAAGCAGTTTTTCAAGAAGGACCATTTTCAAGTCGTTCAAGAGAAAAGCTGTTGATGAAAATGAAAATGAAATGGGAGACACGATTGAGGAAATCAACAAGAAAGAGCGGGGTTGCAGACTCGCTGTACCAGGGAGATATTCTTCCTTACAAGGCTGGTTTTTTTTCGGTTTCTGCTAACTTCTCTGACAAAATTTCGAGCTATATTAAGGGAGCAGGAAGACCAAATGGGAATCCGTTCTAAACGACAAGCAATGAGTGACCCAAGTAGAAGATGGCCGGATAAAAAGGTCCCGTATCTATTGCTTTCCCATACAGGTCAGTCGCTCTGAAATTCGTGCGACTGATGAGCAAAATTTTCTTCATGTTCAGACGAAAAGGTCAAGGCTGCCTTCAGAAAAGCAGCGCAGTTATGGAGGGACGACACGTGCATTGATATCAAAGAATACAAGGATTTCAGCGACCCGGGTTTTAGTAAGTGGCAATGTGTTGTTATCAAATTTTGATAGCTGTCTTATTCTGCCAGAAAAAAACGCTTCCTTGCCAACATCCCTAATTCCATGCCACAGTGAACGCTCTCAAATTTAGGCTCGTTTAATTACGAGTTCGTCTTAACATTATGATGAGATAAATACAGTGCTCCTTCACAGTAGAAAGCTAGTGCTTCAGCTTGGAATTTCCTTGAAGTGGTCAATGGAGGTCGCTGTCGGAGAGTCACACAGACAAGAGCTCCATGGGAGCATTGCAGAGCATTATAAGTCTCACTATCAGCCATTATCCTTAATACACGGACGGCGCTTTCGCTCGACAGCATAGATCAAGATTACAATAGCCAAAAACTTGTTACAGCGTAGTGCAAAAACATGGTCTGTCTTCTTGAAAGCACTATAAATGCGAGAAGATGGTAACAGCCACATCCTACCGGCACGCTTCCCATTTCTCGTAACCGACGAAATTTTCTTTCAGCTTTACATTTCAGAATGAAGGTCCTTGCATTTGCTATACTTGTGGCCGTATGTGTGGAAGCAATGCCAGAGCAGCGGCACAAATCGCATTCTCTCCACTCCTCTACAGAGAAAAGAGAAAAACTTTTCGAGAGACGCAAAGTGAGTAGACCTTCTCAAATGAAGCAGTTTTTCAAGAAGGACCATTTTCAAGTCGTTCAAAGAAAAGCTGTCGATGAAAATGAAAATGAAATGGGAGACACGATTGAGGAAATCAACAAGAAAAGCGGGGTTGCAGACTCGCTGTACCAGGGAGATATTCTTCTTACAAGGCTAGTTTTTTTTCGGTTTCTGCTAACTTCTCTGACAAAATTTCGAGCTATATTAAGGGAGCAGGAAGACCAATTGAGAATCCGTTCCAAACGGCAAGCAATGAGTGTGTTAGGTAGAAGATGGCCTGACAAAAGGTCTCATCGTAGTCAGTCGCTCTAAAATTCTGTCGCGCGTGTGACGAATGAGCAAAATTTTCATTCATGTTCAGACGAAAACGGTCAAGGCTGCCTTCAGAAAAGCAGCGCAGTTATGGAGGGACGACACGTGCATTGATATCGAAGAATACGATTGGACCAAACCGGGTTTTCGTAGTAAGTGGCAATGTGTTGTTTTCAAATTTTGATAGCTGTCCTATTCTGCCAGAAAAAACGCTTCCTTGCCAACATCGCTAATCCATGCCACAGTGAACGATGAGGATAAAAACACTGGTCCTTCACAGTAGAGAGCTAGTGCTTCAGCTGTGAATTTCCTTGACGTGGAAGATGGAGACGGATGCGTTTCGCAAGTTGGTAAACCAAACGAAGGTCCGCAACCTCTCAGACTCGGCAAAGGCTGTGGATCGGTATGGGTTCAGAGCACTTTCCTTTATTACATTCAAGTTATTCACTACAAGATACTGAATAGTTCCCTCAATTCGCATTGATGCAAACTTCGTTTCCCGTTCTGCTGCAGGTCGGGATTGCTGCGCACGAAATCGGTCATGCACTTGGATTCTTCCAC